AACTGAGTTGGTAGGTTTTGGTATTTTGATAATGAATTATATCATACTGCTAGGTATCAGAAAGTAAGGATCTTGACAAACTAGACATTTATCAGAAACATGCTACCAAGTACAGTTTAGAGTTAACACCAAACAGAAATCTTTGTTTCGAGGGGTTTTCATGTTTGTTAATTGCAGCATTGATGGAACACTGGTAGCCATTGGCCAGACATGCTTCAATTCCCCCCTACCTATGCCAGTATCAGCTAGCTGTGGTATATATTCCCCCTACCTATGCCAGTATCAGCTAGATGTGGTTTATATTCCCCCTACACCTATGCCAGTATCAGCTAGCTGTGGTTTATATTCCCTACCTATGCCAGTATCAGCTAGCTGTGGTTTATATTCCCTATGCCAGTATCAGCCCCTCCCTATGCCTATCAGCTAGCTGTGGTTTATATTCCCCTACCTATGCCAGTATCAGCTAGCTGTGGTTTATATTCCCTACCCATGCCAGTATCAGCTAGCTGTGGTTTATATTCCCCCCATACCTATGCCAGTATCAGCTAGCTGTGGTTTATATTCCTCCCCACTGCTATGGCCAGTATCAGCTAGCTGTGGTTTATATTCCCCCTACCTATGCCAGTATCAGCTAGCTGTGGTTTATATTCCCCCTACCTATGCCAGTTTATGCCAGCTAGTTGTGGTTTATATGCCAGTCCTACCTATGCCAGTATCAGCTAGCTGTGGTTTATATTCCCCCCTACCTATGCCAGTATCAGCTAGCTGTGGTTTATATTCCCCTACCTATGCCAGTATCAGCTAGCTGTGGTTTATATTCCCCCTACCTATGCCAGTATCAGTAACTGTGGTTTATATTCCCCCTACCTATGCCAGTATCAGTGAGCTCACCTATGCCAGTATCAGTTAAGGCTGTGGTTTATATTCTGGTTCAGCTAGCTGTGGTTGATATTCCCCCTACCTATGCCAGTATCAGCTAGCTGTGGTTGATATTCCCCTACCTATGCCAGTATCAGCTAGCTGTGGTTTATATTCCCCCCACCTATGTCAGTATCAGCTAGCTGTAGTTTATATTCCTCCCACCTATGCCAGTATCAGCTAGCTGTGGTTTATATTCCCCTACCCATGCCAGTATCAGCTAGCTGTGGTTTATATTCCCCTACCTATGCCAGTATCAGCTAGTTGTGGTTTATATTCCCCTACCTATGCCAGTATCAGTTAGCTGTGGTTTATATCCCCTACCTATGCCAGTATCAGCTAGTTGTGGTTTATATTCCCCCTACCTATGCCAGTATCAGCTAGTCATGTGGTTTATATTCCCCCTACCTATGCCAGTATCAGCTAGCTGTGGTTTATATTCCCCCTACCTATGCCAGTATCAGCTAGTTGTGGTTTATATTACCCCCTACCTATGCCAGTATCAGCTAGCTGTGGTTTATATTCTCCCTACCTATGCCAGTATCAGCTAGCTGTGGTTTATATTCCCCTACCTATGCCAGTATCAGCTAGCTGTGGTTTATATTCCCCTACCTATGCCAGTATCAGCTAGTTGTGGTTTATATTCCCTACCTATGCCAGTATCAGTTAGCTGTGGTATATATTCCCCCTACCTATGCCAGTATCAGCTAGCCGTGGTTTATATTCCCCCCATACCTATGCCAGTATCAGTTAGCTGTAGTATATAATCCCCCTACCTATGCCAGTATCAGCTAGTTGTGGTTTATATTACTCCCTACCTATGCCAGTATCAGCTAGTTGTGGTTTATATTCCCCCCTACCTATGCTGCATCAGCTAGCTGTGGTTTATATTCCCCCTACCTATGCCAGTATCAGCTAGCTGTGGTTTATATTCCCCTACCTATGCCAGTATCAGCTAGTTGTGGTTTATATTCCCCTACCTATGCCAGTATCAGCTAGCTGTGGTATATAATCCCCCTACCTATGCCAGTATCAGCTAGTTGTGGTTTATATTACCCCTACCTATGCCAGTATCAGCTAGGCTGGTTTATATCTCCCTATACCTATGTCAGTATCAGGTAGCCGTGGTTTATATTCCCCCTACCTATGTCAGTATCAGTTAGCTGTGGTTATATAATCCCCCTACCTATGCCAGTATCAGCTAGCTGTGGTTTATATTCCCCCTACCTATGCCAGTATCAGCTAGCTGTGGTTTATATTCCCTACCCATGCCAGTATCAGCTAGTTGTGGTTTATATTCCCCTACCTATGCCAGTATCAGCTAGTTGTGGTTTATATTCCCCTACCTATGCCAGTATCAGCTAGCTGTGGTTTATATTCCCCCTACCTATGTCAGTATCAGCTAGTTGTGGTTTATATTCCCCCTACCTATGCCAGTATGAGCTAGCTGTGGTTTATATTCCCCATGCCGTATCAGCTAGTTGTGGTTTATATTCTCCCTACCTATGCCAGTATCAGCTAGCTGTGGTTTATATTCCTCCCTACCTATGCCAGTATCAGCTAGCTGTGGTTTATATTCCCCGCATACCTATGCCAGTATCAGCTAGCTGTGGTATATAATCCCCCTACCCATGCCAGTATCAGCTAGTTGTGGTTTATATTCCCCCCTACCTATGCCAGTATCAGCTAGTCAGTGGTTTATATTCCCCTACCTATGCCAGTATCAGTTAGCTGTAGTATATAATCCCCCTACCTATGCCAGTATCAGCTAGTTGTGGTTTATATTACCCCTTACCCATGCCAGTATCAGCTAGTTGTGGTTTATATTCCCCTACCTATGTCAGTATCAGTTAGCCGTGGTTTATATTCCCCTACCTATGTCAGTATCAGTTAGCTGTGGTATATAATCCCCCTACCTATGCCAGTATCAGCTAGCTGTGGTTTATATTCCCTACCTATGCCAGTATCAGCTAGTTGTGGTTTATATTCCCCTACCTATGCCAGTATCAGCTAGTTGTGGTTTATATTCCCCCTACCTATGCCAGTATCAGCTAGCTGTGGTTTATATTCCCCTAGCACCTATGTCAGTATCAGCTAGTTGTGGTTTATATTCCCTACCTATGCCAGTATCAGCTAGTTGTGGTTTATATTCCCCTACCTATGCCAGTATCAGCTAGCTGTGGTTTATATTCCCCTACCTATGTCAGTTTCAGGTAGCCAGTGGTTTATATTCCCCTACCTATGTCAGTATCAGTTAGCTGTGGTTTATATTCCCCGCACCTATGTCAGTATCAGCTAGTTGTGGTTTATATTCCCCTACCTATGCCAGTATCAGCTAGCTGTGGTTTATATTCCCCTATGCCGCATCAGCTAGTTGTGGTTTATATTACCCCTACCTATGCCAGTATCAGCTAGCTGTGGTTTATATTCCTCCCTACCCATGCCAGTATCAGCTAGCTGTGGTTTATATCTCCCACTACCTATGCCAGTATCAGTTAGCTGTGGTATATAATCCCCCTACCTATGCCAGTATCAGCTAGTTGTGGTTTATATTCCCCCTACCTATGCCAGTATCAGCTAGCCGTGGTTTATATCTCCCTACCTATGCCAGTATCAGTTAGCTGTAGTATATAATCCCCCTACCTATGCCAGTATCAGCTAGTTGTGGTTTATATTACCCCCTACCTATGCCAGTATCAGCTAGCAGTGGTTTATATTCCCCTACCTATGTCAGTATCAGCTTAGCCGTGGTTTATATTCCCCCTACCTATGTCAGTATCAGTTAGCTGTGGTATATAATCCCCTACCTATGCCAGTATCAGCTAGCTGTGGTTTATATTCCCCTACCTATGCCAGTATCAGCTAGCTGTGGTTTATATTCCCCCTACCTATGCCAGTATCAGCTAGCTGTGGTTTATATTCCCCCTACCTATGCCAGTATCAGCTAGCTGTGGTTTATATTCCCAGTCCTACCTATGTCAGTATCAGCTAGTTGTGGTTTATATTCCCCTACCTATGCCAGTATCAGCTAGCTGTGGTTTATATTCCCCCCTACCTATGCCAGTATCAGCTAGCTGTGTTTTATATTCCCCTACCTATGCCAGTATCAGCTAGCTGTGGTTTATATTCCCCCTACCTATGCCAGTATCAGTTAGCTGTGGTTGATATTCCCCCCTACCTATGCCGGTATCAGCTATCTGTGGTTGATATACAAGACTCAACCCATCACTTGAGTCACCAAGTTAAAAAAAGTCTAAATACTGATGCACATTGGCCAATTTTTCCACATGTTTCACATAGCATTTTTAACACAGGGAGGAAAGGAGTGAGTGAATTTAGTTTTATGCCAATTTTAGCAATATTCCAGCAATATCAATTATCATGGCAAGGGACACCAGAAATGGGCTTCACACATTGTAACAATGTGTGGAATCGAAGCTGGGAGGGAAGGGCAGAATAAAGTATTATCCTCGTAATACAGGACACACATTTAAGTGCTGTGCCAGGGTAGGGAGTTGGCCCAGTTTGTCAGTTGGAGTTGGCCCAGGGAGTTGCCCAGTTTGTCAGCCCAGTTTGTCAGTTGTGTAGGGAGTTGGCCCAGTTTGTCAGTTGTGTAGGAGTTGGCCCAGTTTGTCAGTTGTGTAGGGAGTTGGCCCAGTTTGTCAGTTGTGTAGGGAGTTGGCCCAGTTTGTCAGTTGTGTAGGGAGTTGGCCCAGTTTGTCAGTTGTGTAGGGAGTTGGCCCAGTTTGTCAGTTGTGTAGGGAGTTGGCCCAGTTTGTCAGTTGTGTAGGGAGTTGGCCCAGTTTGTCAGTTGTGTAGGGAGTTGGCCCAGTTTGTCAGTTGTGTAGGGAGTTGGCCCAGTTTGTCAGTTGTGTTCCTATGTTTTCAGGATCCTCTGGTTGTGAGTTTGGATTCCCCATCATCTTGATCCTTTGTTAGTAAGCAACATTCCAGTGCTGTTAGGTTTCTCAGTGACTCAGTGTCCTTTTGAACGTGAACTTTCCTCTCAAATCAGGTTGACAAGACTTGTATAACTGAAACATTTCCGCATGCATTAAACCAAACACATTCAATCATTCCAGGCGCTGAGCCGAGAACAGTCCGGTGGCTTCCAGACGAACGACCAGTTTGTGACTGAAGCATGTGAGGCATTTCTGACAAAGGTGAGAGAAGGGTTATTCCATCTGGACTGTGATAAACTGAATGACCTCAACAAAACATTTGGGTCACAGATGTCTCAGTAGTCTAAGGCACAACAAACGGCTGTGAAGACGTGTGTCCTTTGGGCTCCTCTGACATCTGTGAATGAGGTTCACCCAGATTTGTTTCTGGGATTGTCAACACCATACCACTGCTGTGGGTTGCAGCAAAGGGGTACATGTCTAATACCTGTATCACTAGGGACCCTTCCTAGGGACCCTTCCTAGGGACCCTTCCTAGGGACCCTTCCTAGGGACTCTTCCTAGGGACTCTTCCTAGGGACCCTTCCTAGGGACTCTGAGTTCACATGCCATGATACACTGGAATAATGTTTAAAGTATCACAAACCTACATGCATCCCAGAGACACATTTTAACTGAAATAATCTTTACTTCATGCATATTACCAATTGGTTTTGTTACGAATTTGTCTGAAAAACTGAGGAACAAGATTTGAAATGGAATTGGAAATAACAGAAATAGAAGCATAAACCAATGACAGACCTTGTAACCATGGTAACATTATTTTGTCAGTTTTACTGCAATGAGACCAGCTGATGACACGAAAAGTTCATGTAAGAAGACATTAAACACCAACTATTGGAAGTGACAGTAATTTAGGAAGATGTAATGTAGCTATTTGCCTGCTCAGTAAGGTGTTTATGAATGTACTTTAGGAGTAACCAATTTTGAAAGAACTCGATTTTTTTACATAAGCAGCAGTTAATTAATGATACAATTAATTGTTTACTGTAATTCAACTATTTATACATAATTTTAGCACACTAGATATGTGTGTATTATTAGGTCTTGACCCGTGAAGATACGGGTTAGAGTTGATCTTCAGTAACCCATGTTTGTCGTAAGAGGCAACTAATGGGATCGGATGGTCAGGCTCGCTGAATTGGTTGACACATGTAATCGGTTCCCAAATGCGTAGATCGATGCTCATGCTGTTGACCACTGGCTTGTCTGGTCCAGACTCGATTATTTACAGACCGCCACCATGTAGCTGGAATATTGCTGAGTGAGCGGTAAAACTAAACTCACTCACTCACTTTTAGGTCTTGATATATAAACTTCATTACAATTCCAGGAACATGAGCAAAAATGAAAGGGTTTGATCATATACTTTTGATCATAGTGCTGTTCAGGATAAAATTAATACAATGAGTTTGATTGCAACCTCAATGGACTGAGATCATTGTGGGAAGTGGGGATGGAAGATAGAGTGTATTACATGCTATTGTTCAGCTATTAAAAATTTAGAATGAGGAATTTTTTTAGGGATATACAACTTCTTTTTTCTGTATAGGCGACATTTTGACATAATTCTAATCTAATATATACCTGCTTAACCCCTATGTAAACAACCTATGTACATCACTCCCTACTGGCTGCCGATCAACATTCTTAATCTCTTGTGTATACAACCTATGTACATCCTCTCAACAGGCTTCCAATCAACCTACTTAATCCTGTATAGCATCTGTCAACTTCTTCTATTGTATAAACAACTCATTTTCACCTCATCCCTCGTCTATTGTACAAACATCTCATGTATATAATCACCCAAATTACTTCTCATGTAACACTTGCTTGACGATGACATTAGAATCTATGTCGAAACATCGCCTATACAGAATAAAGAAGTTGTATATCCATAAAAATTGTCCTCATTCTTCATAGAATTTCTAGAATGCCAATCAAAGAAACACTATTATGAATTAATGCTATGATGATAGTGTTTTCACTGCACAAATGATCACACAAAAGAATTTTGTGCTTAAATGAAAAATGACGGTACACAGAATCTAGTTGTGACTTTCTTAAACTACACGCACATAAAGACAGACACTTAACAATTTTTACCAGACAATTTGTTTGTGCTTAGAATGGACAAAAATAATCCATTTTAGGTGTTCATTTGAAAAGGGATTGTGGGGGGCATGCCCCCGAATCCCTCCAGGATGTTTCGTACCTTCTGCACTCTCAGCTACACGTCCACCTTACAGTTAGAACCCATTGCAAACACTGGGTATTTACAGACCTATTAACATTGAGTTTCTGTATTTTGTGACAATTATTTAACGTGAAGCCCTTTTTGTTTCAGGTGAAAAAACTCACATGACGTCAATATCAATTTTTCATCACGTCATTCACATAATTCACAGTCGTCAGTCATTTCACCTTCGTTGCATGAAAATTTGTTGTATATACGAGCGACAGCTGCTTACTCATGTTAATATGCAGGATTTATTAACTTAGCTTCTGATTGAAAATTTCAGTGTGTCAGTGTTTTAATAATTACTAATTGGTACATGCTCTAAATCATCCATATTCATATTAATGATATATGTATGACAGAGTTTAAATGCTGAAGGTATTGGCTCTAATCTATTCCTGGCCCATGGCTATTGTTTGTACATAAAGATGAACATTTTTGTTGAAATATTTGTTCAATGTTTCATATTGTATCTATCATGTACATATTAATTTATATACATCTACACACAGAATGTATTTTTTTAAATGGTCATCATTTAATCATGGAAACAACCCAAATTGTTAAAGTTTTCTTTGAATAAAACATGTTAAATATAACCTCATCTGTGCCTTATGACATGTGAAAAGAAGACTGTAGTCCATATTGGGTTAGAACATCTATGTAATTTAATAATTCATCAGTGATCAAATTACTTTCATGGCTTTTGAGAAATAAGGAGAGAGTATTTTTGAGGGGTATATTTATGTGAAACTATTTTCACAAATAGATATAATGTACAAGCAGCCATATATTCAGGAGTACTGAGTGTTATAGTCGAACTGAGTGTTATAGTCAGTTGATTGTTGTGTGCATGGTACTCGGACTGATCAGTGTTTGCAACACATCTGTATATAGTCAGTTGACACTTGTTTACGAATGTTTTCACATCAGTGTTCAGGGGACTAGTCCTTGTGGTCAGCTCCATCATTATTACCTTACAGAGTTCCATCCCCTAGCAGTGCCAGGATCTGCTGGTTCTTATCCAGATACACTTGGTGTGCCCCTGAATTCCTGATTTACCGCAGTTATGAATACCTGGCAATACCATATGTTTGCTTGTGGGTTTTAGTGAGGTGAACACCAATGAATACCTGGGTCACCTTGGCTTTCTTCCCATAGGAATACAGTGTGGCTCTGGAGAGGAAGATTAGGTCTTGGACGCCATGTTTGTCTTAAGAGCTGACCTGATTGTGGAGAGAAAGATGATTAGGTAGCCTGGTGGTTAAAGTGTTTCTTACACACAATATATACCATGTGTGATGCCTGTTTCTGGTGTCCCTACCATAATACTGGTGTAATGTTGCTCAAAGAAGAATGTACACAAACTGGGCTGGTTTCAGTGTGTAGCCTTCTGACTGCTGTCTTAGTGTCCTCTTGCATAGACAGCATAGACAATTTCCTATCCAATCAACTACTTTTGGGGAATATAGAATTGAACATATTCAGGCTTCTGTGATACAGCTATGATATTGTCACCGGCTCCTAAAACAATATGCACTCACTCTCCCCACTTGAGAAGACTCTGTAAGGGCAGTGTAAGACTTAACATTAATATTAATTATTAGGTGTTGTCTCTGTTTTGTCAGTGAGTATCACCAAGAAATATATTATATCATCTTCTTTTAGACAGGTTGGTGGAGTTTACAGAACCACAAAATTCTTTTAGGTCATAATTTGACTTCATAATTTGTTTTGTAATACTGTCATCTTTGAAGTAACTTTTTCTCCATGAATCTTGATGAACTTGAGTCCATCTTGCTAGGATTCCTCTGACTTTATTCCGTTCAAAGATGTTTCAGACCATGATACCATACCCATTCAACATATTATTCCATGCATCTGAGCAGGTACAAGGGCAGGATTTGAAGATTAGAACCATGAAATTTAAAGTGAGTGAGTGAATGAATGTTGGCCAGTGTGTTGTCAGCACTGATACTGACACTACAGGAACTAATGCAGGACATCCATATCTGACACGAACATAAGAATACAATTAATTATAATCATCTGAATACTGAACTCAAACATATTGTCATATGTGGGCATTGCTAAACTTATTATTAATTTTTCATCCCAGCCTAACTTCATCCTTGTTTTTGTCGACAAGAACCAGCAGATAAAGGAAAGGAATATCTGTGTATGTTCTTTTCTTCTGTAACTTGATGAAATACATCACTACATGTTCCAAGCAGTCATGCCAAATGTGTCTCATATCTGGCGACAGATATTGAGATACTTTAAAAATATTTTTAAAAAGCCTTGAAATAAAAAAAATGTACCTTGCCTCCTGATATGTATCACTACTTATATATTTATTAGAGATGTTACTTCGATTTTACTGGAAAATAACCACATACAATAAGCTCTGCTTATAACAAACATGTATAATGAATTAATATATCAACATGCTTTTTGGCAAGCTAGAATTCATGATCCCTTTGAGTTTGTTATATTTACTGTATCTGTCATGTTCTGTGAGGATTCAAGACCGAGAAGATACCATGGGTAGAAATCACCACTCAGTTGTATAGAGAGCTAACTGGTGAAGCTTTTACTAATACAAACTAATGCCAATTTCGTAGTGTTAGACCACTGAGATAGTGAACACAGATACCCTGCTATGACAACACACTGACTGCTAGCCAACCAGTCTTCTCACTTTTATTGGCACATTGTATTAAGCAGCCGGGGATCGAACCACCACCCTTTGCTCTCCTGGCAGACACTCTACCCACTGGACCAGAGAGGTCATCCAGAGCACTAAGTGAGGAGTGGATAGTTCCAATGTCAGATCCTGGCAGATAGTATGTCATCATGGCCTTATGGTTAGAACTGATGTTCATGCAGCCAGTCACTGGTTTGTGTGCATCTCAACTGTGGCATTGGTTGAATAACTCAACTGTGGCATCGGTTGAATAAGTCAACTAGGTTGAATAACTCAACTGTGGCATTGGTTGAATTGGTTGAATAACTCAACTGTGGCATTGGTTGAATAACTCAACTGTGGAATTGGTTGAGTAACTCAACTGTGGTATTGGTTGAGTAACTCAACTGTGGAATTGGTTGAATAACTCAACTGTGGAATTGGTTGAGTAACTCAACTGTGGCATTGGTTGAGTAACTCAACTGTGGCATTGGTTGAATAACTCAACTGTGGCAAAGGTTGAATAACTCAACTGTGGCATTTGTTGTGGCATTGGAATAGCTCTGAATAACTCAACTGTGGCATTGGTTGAATAACTCAACTGTGGCATTGGTTGAATAATTCAACTGGAATTGGTTGAGTAACTCAACTGTGGTATTGGTTGAATAACTCAACTGTGGCATTGGTTGAGTAACTCAACTGTGGTATGGGTTGAGTAACTCAACTGTGGAATTGGTTGAATAATTCAACTGTGGAATTGGTTGAGTAACTCAACTGTGGTATTGGTTGAATAACTCAACTGTGGTATTGGTTGAATAATTCAACTGTGGAATTGGTTGAGTAACTCAACTGTGGTATTGGTTGAATAACTCAACTGTGGCATTGGTCGACTTATTCAACTATGGTATTTGTTGAATAATTGAACTGTGGCATTGGTTGAATAGTTACATCTGTTGTGTAAAACAACTGACCTGTTGCTAGAAAATATGGTCCATTTACCAACCTGGTGAGGCTGAAGAGCGATGCTCTATTCTCAATATTGGTACAAAACATCTCATTCTGGTACCCTGTGAATTGTATAGCCTGAATAGAGAGATGTAGAACCTCTAGCTAACAACTGGTACTAAGGAATTACACATATCAGAATGTTACTTGTATTAGTGATTGGAAGTAAAACATTGTCATAGAATTATTTTATATCCCTCAAACTCTTCAGAGACCGCCTCCGTGGTGTAGTGGTTAGAGCGTCCGCCCGGAGAGCCGAAGGTCGCTGGTTCGATCCCCGACAGCGTCATACCAAAAGACGTTAAAATATGGTACTTGTTGGTCCCTGCCTGGCGCTCGGCATTAATGGGTACAACAAGGACTGGTCGGCTCGGAGTCAGTATAATGTGTCTGAGTGGGGTATTCATGCTTCACTGCGGCATGGTATCTCAGTGGGCTAGCACTATAAAACCAGCTTAAGTCTCGGCTAGTACAAGCAGCCGCACATACACATACACACGCATGCACGTCGTAATATGAGCGAAATATTCTCAAGCACGACGTTAAACCCAATTTCACCTCACCTCACCTCAAACTCTTCAGTTATATTACACAGTTATATAAGCCAGTAAACCTTGTCCTGGGTCCTCATTGATATTCGGTTATTAATGCCATACAGGAATTGGGAATTAACACTGTATTTTCAGCTGTGTTTTGAATAGTCTTCTGTATGTGTGTTTTGTTTGAGTGTGTTGAATACTGACACATTTACCAGTACGTACTACAGCTTACCGTGTTTAGTCGGCTGCATGGATCACAATCCCTCACAATAACATCCACTTGACTCCACTCTCGGTCACCTCAAGGTAAGAAACTGTCGTCATATATACACTGTTCACTCTGGTATGTCTTGCATCAAACAGTTCATTTTGGGATTAATAACATGCATCAATAAATATAATATGTTCACATTATGTCTGTGAACCTCCCTCATGTATATTAAGGCATGTGTACTTCCTGGTCGTAGCAAGCCTATTTGCAAATTTTTGTCATTTTCATGTTACATCCTAAAATTCTACGTTGTATGGTTGGGCTTTGTCTCCATTTTTAAGGCCTGAGCTTCAATCATAATATTTCATGGTTAGGACCCTGCAACTTGAATAGATTCCGTTCATCTTTCGCAAACCATGGCATCACCATCACCTTTAGTGGAATCACTGTTACATAATGATTCAATACTTGTAAATAGATTGAATCATCACTATTTGATGCCTCAGTTTTGTTTAATTGTGAGGCATCTGTCTCAATATTAGGGCTGGGACGGGTCCAAATATTCTACCCGGGTACCCCAACCCCTATTACCCTACCCTACCCGGATACCCGTTATGTTAATTCCTGACATCAAATTTGTAAGAAAGGGCAATAGATTTTTCAGCTCGGAGACTAAAAGTTCGAGTTGTTCAATATCTTAACCATGTATTATATTTAAAATAAGTGACTGTAATTATGTCTAAATCTTCAAAGACAATATAAATTTTTAATAACATATTACATTGTTTAATCTATTAGTCACATGATCATAACAGGTCCAGGTATTGAGACGGGTACCCGGGTCAAACTCATTACCCACCGGTCCCGGGTATCCGGGTTACCTGTCCCAGCCCTACTCAATATGTCATGGTAAGACCTCTTCTTGAGTTCATGTTAATCTGATTCCTGTTTTCTAATATTTCAATTATCTGGTTTGCATGATGTTTACCAAACCTGTAGGGTCTGTGTTTGGAACAACAGTAAAAATTCAGTAGTCTTAAATATTACTCAGATAAAGATACGACCCGTGAAGATCCGGGGTAGAACAGGTCTTCAGCAACCCATGCTTGCCACAAAAGGCAACTATGCTTGTCATAAGAGGCGACTAACGGGATCGACTTGGTTGACACATGTCATCGGTTCCCAATTGCGCAGATCGATGCTCATGCTGTTGATCACTGGATTGTCTGGTCCAGACCACCGTCATATAGCTGGAGTATTGCTGAGTGCGGCGTAAAACTAAACTCACTCACTCAGATAAAGATACAACAATTCTGGGTTAGTGGAAAGAAAAAATGAAATGACATTGATTTGAATAATATTACAATTTTGACTGCCTACATTTTTATTTTATTTGTATATTGTAGGTGAATCACATTATTCTAAAATTAAACTGTAACATGGTTGATGTAAGTCAGAAAAACATACATTTTTTATTAATGATTTTCTTTTTATCCAGGTACAAGAGCTGTAACCATGGTAGCAGGCACTGGGCAATCTACAGCAAAACATGACTGGCGTATGACACTCTGTAGCACCTTGTTTTAAGACTCTATGGTTTAGTTCTTAGCTTCCTTGAATCAAAGCTGGAATGTTTGTACAAGGAACATGTAATGTGAGAGGGCACATGTGATGATGTACAAAGACATGTAAATATATGTATGTATATAAAGGTACTTGCAAGTTCATGCAGACACATGTAATTTCATGTGTGAGAATGTGATGTCATTAAGGTACATGTAAGTTTAGCATTCACTTAATGTCATGAAGACATGTTTAATGTCATGTGGACACATGGAATGTTATGATGGCACAGGTAATATCAAAGGCACATGCCATGTCAAAAAATCACAGACAATGTCATTAAAACACGTGTCATGTCACGAAGGCTGTATCACTTGGACACTTAATTTCTTGAAGGCACATTTCATGTCACATAGTGTGACGAGGACACGTGGTACGAGGGCAGCTGTCTGACTGGTTATGAAATGAAGGTTTCTGAACTGCAGGGAGTCGCGATCGGAGACTCCACCAAAGCGAGGCAACAGATATATTTCTGATAGTTAGGTCTCTGGTGATTCAGTTACTCCATTTGAAAATGTGAAATGCTGTCAAGATAATATTTTCAAAAGTAAAGTATGGCTGCTGAGATCTTGTTTCCCTCACAAGTTGGCATTTCAATGAATAAAGTTTAAGTCAATTAACCTTTCTTATCTATTACTAACAGAGAGTGAAGGTCGTGAGCTACAATCAGGAATGTCACTCCGTCTAAGGATAGATAGTAACAAGAGCCTATGTGAGACAATGTGTCTTAGGGTACGGAGAGGCAAACTGTCGATGGATACCATGAATTGAGGAGCAGCGGCGATGAGTTATAGACAGCGGCTGTTTAAGACAGGATGGTCACTGCTTTAAAACACCCAGTAGTTTCCTAGGAATGGAGGAGCAGATGCTGTCTAAGTCCGTATCAATTCAATCATCATATTTCAAACCCAACTAACTCACTCACTCTCAACATTCCCAGTAATCTTGGCACGACCCAAACGAACACGATGTTCTGCATCAAATCCTGTGTAAATTTACTAAGGGAGACTGGTCTTCAGTTGTCGTGCTCGATCCAGGTCGAGACTGAGCTATAAGGATCAGTAACTTAAAGGGAGTCGTTCAAATGTTCCATGTCGGATAAACAAACTTCAGTGTGTGTGTGTGTGTGTGTGCGCGCGTGTGTGTGTGTGCGCGCGAGCGAATGTCGTCATGTTGTCACTTACTTTAGAAAGGGACTGTCTCAGCTCCAATATTGTACGCATCTCCCCAACTTGTTAGTAATTTTTTTTCTGAAAATCATCTAGGATGCCTTAATGTTCAGACCCGTTAAGATCCGGGATTTGTCTTCAGCAACCCATGCTTGTCGAAAGAGGCGACTAACGGGATCAGGTGGTCAGGCTCGCTGACTTGGTTGACACATGTCATCGTATCCCAGTTGTAGATTGATACGAGTCATGCTGTTGATTACTGTATTGTCTGGTCCAGACTCGATAATTTACTGACCGCCGCCATATACTTGGAGGTAAGAGTTCTTCCCGTTCCCCCATCCCAAATAATATTTATAAATATACAAAAATTATTAACAAAACTTAACACAACAATTACTAGAGAACTCACAAAATGACTAAAAGTCCAAAATTTAAGTTAGGGTTAGGTTTAGAGTTAGGTTTTGGGTTGGGGGAACGGAAGGAACTCTTTCCGTACGTTTGCTTTGCCGCTTGGGGTGGAATGGGTAAGTATGGGGTAGTATGATATAATGCTCAATAGGTAACTCGAGATTTCAGCGAAGACAAAACAAGGGTGCACGCACCATAACCAGAAATTGCTGCACCAATAGCTGCCCGGAACCAGCATTCTACAAAAACTATCAGCATTAGACTACGAAGGCTTCAGTGAACCCGCCCAATGTATCCGGTTGAACGTTTGCCGATATACACAGTCTAGCATTCTCTTCCTACAGAGGTAACTTGTCATATATTCCTACGAACCTCTGTTCTAATACAGCCCTTTCATCGTGCGAGTGTTCAGGATTCATGATTGGTTGCAATCAGAATTAATTGCGCAATCATCGACGTTGTTTCAAAAGTGATCATTCGCCCAGCCTCGGTAAATTTCGTATGCTTCGGGACAACTAGAACCTCTTCTCCTGCGCGATGCGCAAAAGTGTCTTCTAGACAGGACTCAGTCATGTAATGGCGGATCAATGGCGTCTCCATCGCCCTCGTTGACAACGGACAAGCGTGCTATTAAATGTCTTGTGTATGACATCAACACAAGTCCCCGGCAGAGGAGGGATATTTGTGGCCCCATTTTGCTTGCATTAGTCAAGTTGGATCTAAGTCGATGTAACACGTGTTCTGATAGGATAGAAAGAAGGGAGATAATTCGTGTTGCGATTTTTGGCCGCTAGGGGATTTTACGAGAATATGGCCGTATTACAACAGAGGTTCGTAGGAAGATATGACAAGTAACTTCTGTGGGAAGAGAATGCCAGTCTAGATGCCTCTGTGGAGGAGTATCTGCTACAAGTTCCGAAACCTGGTTGAAGACTTTTGATTCTCACTCCTCCAAGTAGTGTGCTTCAACACTTTGGAGCAGTTTTACCAACGGAACTCAAACGCTTACCACCACTTCCATCACTCAAGCCACAATTACAAACGTACCTTTTCCAACAGGACACACAGGGGCGTACCCAGGAAAGAAAAGAAGTGTAGGCACAACTGGACTCCTAATGGGGTTGTTGGCATGTCATTATGTGAAATTGCATGTCAGTATGTGAAATTGAACTGATAAATTTAGTATTCAAACAAATATTTTATAACATTTAAGCAATGACAAAATAGCTCTTCCAGCAAAAGTCATTATTCTATTTGGCTATAAAATGTTATATACCAACTGATTTACTTTTTATCGAAAATAAAATAGCCAACTTTCCATGCATCTTCTTGGGGGCGTGTGGGGTTTTAACAGAAGTGAGTACACACAATTTATATGCTTATTAGAAAAATATGCAGCCTAGTGCTTGTTATATCGGCTGAAGCCAATTGTTATATATAGTGTTGCATGTTGAGAATACATATTGAATACTAAAATGCTTGCCCCTGATTACTGTATATATAAACATAATTTGAACAAATGTTAATTATGTGGATCAAAAAGAAAAGAAAGTCTGTATTCTGAGAAGTAAACCATATCGCTGTCTGCACGTTATGTACACTCGTAAATGAAATCCATGTGCCTCGTCTTCCAAGCAGCAAATCGCTCAATGACACGGTGTGTATTCACTGTCATGTCTCTCTGGACATGGATAAGTGCAAGTGATGACATACGGACATCACCCATGGTGGACCGAAGGTACGTCTTGATCCTCCTCATTGCACTGAAGGATCTCTGCTTGATGCTGATGTCACGGACATAGTGGTGAATTGCCTAAATATGTGTAGGCACGTGCCTAAAGTGCCTAATGGCAGGTACGCTACTGACATACCAGTCAAGATCGCCACGCCCACTGTCCACTCCTGGTTTCTTGCTGTTGCATAACCTTCTGAGCATATACAGCCATTAACTACTAAAATATGGCGCATTATAACTGAGAGAGTGTGTGTGTATTTAAGCTTCCTTTGTCAATATTCCATCAATATGATGGCGGGGAACATAAGATCTAAAATTAATTATAATGATTGATGTGAACTTTACAATATAAACACACATTAACGCCATGCTCTTTCCCATGAAATGACACTTCTCTTCAGATCAACTATTTACATTTATTTGCAAATGGTACTTTCAATATTTCGTGTTTAGTAACACATACTTTTTCAACGTGGCTATCTACCAGTGACTGGAAAGGTTTATTCAGTGGTTTGGGCTCTCGACTTAAAACCCACACGTAGGTGTCGTGGATATTGCAGGAACCATCACCGAGGATCTTCCAACAACTGTACACCACTAAGTAGTTGACGTAATCAGTCGTTAATATCCAGTATGCTCGGTCACCTAGCAACCGTCCAATTTGCGAGTTGAAGGTCACTGTGAACCTGCCCGGATGACTGTCGTCTCCTTGTCTTCCGGTGGCCATATTGGATGTGCACACCACGCCAAACAAGGCCGCACCTGTAGGGTAAATAGAACCGATGTATCAGCCTTGTTATAAGCTGGGGATGTTAGTATTGGTAATTGGCCTGTTCTTGTAAGGAATGCGGCATGTGAGTAGCGGCACAAGGGTTGGACGGTGACATTTAGTTACCCACTCAGACATCATGGAAGACCAAATCATGTCTGGAACACCTGGGTCAAGCTGATTAAATTTCAGGTTTCATCTGACTCGTACTTGCATTTTTAACTTTCACTTTTAATTTGTTACCTGAAGCACATGCTTCTACAAGGGTGAGGTGAGACGTTTAGAAATGTCAGACATGTCACAACGCCTATAATATAAAATACTTCACAAATTGAACCCAGGTGAGAAATCGGATCACCAACGTGAGAGGCTTTAATTATTTCAACCCAATATTTAGCGAGTGGGGTGATTTAGGTGTGACGCAGTTTTGATAAGCATACGAATTTTAATTTGACGGCGTCAAGTCTACAAAGTATACTGAGATTGTAGTAAAAGCAACCTGCATCAGTACGGCTATGGTGCTGAGAAACCACGTGATCATGATCAGAATTACTGTTGGAGTCGAACCCAAGCATTACTGACTGACTGACTTTGGTTTTACGCCGCTTTTAGCAATATTCCAGCAACATCACGGTGGGGGACACCAGAAATGGGCTTCACACATTGTACCCATGTGGGGATTCGAACCCGGGTCTTCGGCGTGACGAGCCAACGTTTTAACCATTAGGCTACCCCACCGCCCCCAAGCATTACTAAAAACGATTGATTGACCGATTGTTTACTGATTATTCAGAAATATTCCAGCTATATGTATGCGGTCTGTAAATAATCGAGTTTGGTCCAGACAAGCCAGTGATCAACATCATGAGCATCGTCCCATGCAATAGGGATACAACGCTTCTAACGACAATCATGGGTTGCTTAAGACCAATTCTTACCCGGATCTTCACGGGTTTTCTAAAAAGAAAAGCTGTGCCTAAAAACACTGCAGATGACTGAGCCGTCTATGTCCCATCATTATGTACAAGTAATTGGGAATTAAAAAATAGTCTCTAAAATTACGGATTTACTGAAAACGAGATGGAAGAAAATACGTTTTCGTTTATGCGTGAGTGAGATATATATTCTTACTTGTTTTAATTTCAAGATGTCCATCTTTTAGGATCTTGTAGCGTACAGTTACATCTGTGGTTGACGATATCTGTGTGGACTTTGGTAAACTGTGCACCCAGAAACGGTTCATTCCGATCGCGTACCACAGACCCTCAAGTCTTGCGGAGTCGAACCCAGACTGAGTTGGGATACAGCTGACCTTGCACCCACTGCCCCTGTCCACCAGAGAGGAAGACCTCAGACATCCATCCACGATGGTCACCCATATCACAAAGTACACGGCAACATAGCCTGTTTCAGTACGGCCAGGTCGGGTCAACATGGCGGGTCAGTACAGGAAGATGGACTGGCCAAGCTGCCCTGACTGTAACATTTAAATCTAAAATAAAACACTCGAAATAGAAATATAAGTAAATAGGAACTAACACCACATTGGGTGTCCGGGATGTTTTGTTTTCACTAACCACTTACACTCTAGCAACATATATGCACAAATACACGTTACTAATGAGCTTTTTGGTTTGCTGTTATCTAAAGCGCATAAATCAAAGCGGCCTCAAAATGTTTTTAACAGCACAGTTTCTAACTTGAAAGATGGATTTGTAAGAGTGTATTTCTTTTTAATTATACCTTTAAGTCAAATTCTGCCAAGACTATAGTTTGTTTTTTAACGAGATAGCGTTGTTTTTTCTGGATTAGAGCATGTACAGCATTTCAAAGGACAATGTGATGTGAAATGTTTTCAAACCTGTTACATGGATACATGAAGTTACCTTAATCTGGCATCGACAAGTGGTTAGGTTTGTGCACAGGTAGGCGATTTTACTACCTGTAAACGTACATGATCCTTATTCACAAAGTTGCTGTTAATTAACAGTTATCCACAAATTCATGTCATCACCAAAACAGTGAATTCCAAGCCTTCACAACTCATAATGACTTCACAATGTTTTGCCGTTATAATACATCATTAAATATAAAGATGTTTTTCTTTTTCGAAATCGAACAGCAGCATTACCACAGAACCATCAAATGAGTGAGTGAGTTTAGTTTTACGCCGCACTCAGCAATATTCCAGCTATATGGCGGCGGTCTGTAAATAATCGAGTCTGGACCAGACAATCCAGTGTTCAACAGCATGAGCATCGATGTTTGCAATTGGGAACCGATGACATGTGTCAACCAGGTCAGCGAGCCTGACCACCCGATCCCGTTAGTCGCCTTTTACGACAAGCATAGTCGCCTTTTATGACAAGAATGGGTTGCTGAAGACCTATTCTACCCCGGATCTTCACGGGTCACCATCAAATGAGTATATAAGCAGTTAAATACGTTTTAATTGAGTTGAAACAATTCAGTATCAGAGGCATGGCCAATAATACCAGTGAACAACTATAATAACATCACGCTTGTGCACAAGGACAGGTGGGACAAATGTTATGACATCTTGATTTGTTAACAATACATTGAACGGGCAGGTTTCTTTTCAAATATATCGAAACAGTTGCTATGTTGCTAATAATGTCTTAAATTGTGTTCGCGATGGATACATGTAATGATATCTGGGGATGTATATGTTTCTAATTTCCAGAAGGAATGGTGTTCATCTTCAGTTGTGTTATGATTAGATTTAGTGCCCCTAAGCAAATTAGCATTGATTTTGTCATTGTAACAGAACTGCTGATTTCTCAGCATATGGCTCAGACATCGGAATTTACATAATATTCGCATAAGATCTATATTTGGACATAACTCCGTAATGTATTTCTTTGGCTCGAGTATTGACAGTAGTCACATGTGTGTAGAATAGTGGTTTTGAATGGATGGAAAAAAACACATTTTAGCCTGCCAATTCTGAATCGCTGTGTCTTCACATGTTTACTTAAAATCTGTTAGGTTGCCGCGATCACACATATGTAAATCTAGTTTCCAATATCAGTACACCAACACACGTTACCGTATTCATCCTGGGATTTCAGCATAGTATATGTATAACTTGATTAGGGATATCAATAACTATCCATATAGGGATAAGCTTGTATTCCTCGTATCTTTCTAACTCTCTCCATATTATCATTAGCTACATTGAGCAAATCGTGTCTTATAAATTTCCCTCCGACTGTCCGTACCGGGGTTTACTCCAATCACACCCTCTATGCCATGAATGATAAGATTGTTCAACCTAGTCGGAAGCCTTTCTTTGTCAACGAGATATTTAGTTCAGAATATCTTTCTTCAGCTGGACCTTTTTCGATCTTAACCTCTAATATTTGCCTTTACTTTCATTTCGGGCTGTTTCAAACATTTTGTTAAAGCTGATTATTTCGGAGGATGGATGAGAGCGACGTTTCGGTGTTGGTTCTTACGCCGTTATTAAGCAGGTGAACCACCGTTATCAAGGTGTTAGAGCCTACACCGAAACGTCGCTTTCACTGTAAAATAGAAGTTGTTCGTCCAAACATGGTCATCCATCTTGAGTGCTCCAACAAGTTAATCATATCCGATCTGATAACTTTCAAAATATTGGTGGTTTCTTCCTCATATTGGTCAGTCACTGTTCGACATATCGTATGGGAGTCGTGGTATGTATGGGATGTAGAGACAGGCGTTAACGTTGTCCATTTCACCTACAACACTTGACGTCTTCCTGGCTGTCATGTCAAACTGACTTGTGTTCATTACGCAGTGACCAGACAAAGAACATCCATTCACATTAGAAACAGGTTCTGTATGAGCAATATCTTCAAATGACTTGACAAATGTGATTCCGTCAATAAACGACGTGGATTGAGTCAACATAGCCAACATTTAAGTGAGTCTCCCATATTGCACGTGAAACTAGTGATTGTCACGGGTGACAGGTGCACGGCGGCTATAGACAACCGATTTCCTTCTGATCACATGGAAACATTTCTTTTAACTAAAGACATTAAATTGAGGTTGATGAAACAATTCTCCTCACATTCGTACTCACATTTGTTTTGTGTATCCCAACTGTTTTCCTTGTGATTACTCCATTTTGTACATTTTCCATCAGCTCGACGTGAAAACATCCGATGACACCTGACGCATGCGCATTGTCAATTGCCCGGTAAACATATTTCAATTGAAACAAGATAGTATTATGGGTAATCTATTATGTAACGAACAATATACGCCTATATAACAGGAAAACTGTCCTCAAGCGTTACTTTGGTTAAACAATTCGTGGGTATCTCTACAGATACACTAACCTTCCACCAGTGATAGAGCGCACGTGCAAGGCAACGCACTCTTTTTCTCTATTTATACATGCTTTTGTCCACCTGAATCAGTCAAGAATGAGAGACACGTGGCCTAATCGGCCCGAGTGTACTATGTCCATAGCACTTGGCACACAGAGCGTGCGTGGCTAAAGGTTACCACAGGCATACTCCCATCCACATACCACGCCTGAAGGTACCTCCTTTACCATGCTGTTACTTCGTGTAACTTACCATTAATTTATTACCGATAACTCATTACACTTTTATGTGATTTCAGAAGTTAAGCTTACCCGTGACGGTCCGGGTTAGAATGAACCTTCAGCAACCAATGCTTGTCGTAAGAGGCGACTAACGGGATCGGGTGGTCAGGCTCGCTGACTTGGTTGACACATGTCATCGGTTCCCACTTGCACAGATCGATGCTCATGCTGTTGATCACTGGATTGTCTGGTCCAGAGTCGATTATTTACAGACCGCCGCCATATAGCTGGAATATTGCTGAGTGCGGCGTAAAACTAAACTCACTCACATAAGTAAAACTAACATGATGGGCTCTGTTTGTTTATTAGTTAACATAATTGTGTCCCAATAATGTTTTGGATTATTTGAGGGTTTAATTGATATTTTTATCTTCTTTTAAGATTTTCTTGAATATATATTATAGGATATTTATAAAGCGCACATACCCAAGCAACTAGTGCATGCTCAAGGCGCTGGTATTTTTTCCCTCGATCTTTGGATGTCAATCTCAGCGGCACATCTTATTACCAATCTCAACTCCCTGGGGAGTATACAACTCTTGCTGCCACTAGGCGCACCGATTTATTTCTCATCCTATAGCTTTCTCATCCTACCCATTCACAGCTAGGTGGACTGGGACACATAGTCACAGTACTTTGTCCAAGTTTACTGCACGTTGCTGTACCTGCAACTAGGTGTTTGCATGCATGTATTCATGTGGCCACCATCTAGTCATATACCAACGGATTCGTGGGTGCACAGGGTGACTCCAAGGTTTTTACACCCGGTCACAGGTGGGCTCGATCCCGGCACCTGAAGGAGGTGAACCCACTCTGAGGTGAGGTGAGGTGAGGTGAAATTGGGTTTTACGTCGTGCTTGAGAATATTTCGCTCATATGACGACGTGCATTCGTGTGTATGTGTAGGTGCGGCTGCTTGTACTAGCCCAGACTGAAGCTGATTTTATAGTGCTAGCCCACTGAGATACCATGCCGCAGTGAAGCATGAATACCCCACTCAGACACATTATACTGACTCCGAGCCGACCATTCCTTGTTGTACCCATTAATGCCGAGCGCCAGGCAGGGACCAACAAGTACCATATTTTAACGTCTTTTGGTATGACGCGGTCGGGGATCGAACCCGCGTCCTTCCGCTCTCCGGGAGGACGCTCTAACCACTACACCACGGAGGCGGTCGAACCCGCTATGAAGGAAAACGAACCGAAGCACTTCATTTTCATTCCTAAAGTAATTCATTACGCCATTGTATTCAATTCATCAGAGAACTTTAAAAGCGGTCGGGCGTTCGGAGTCTGACATTTAGTGTAATGTAGTCTATGAACTTTCATATTTACTTCCCCTTGGGGATTTCCGGTCAGAAGAGGTCTCAAGACGTCATTCCTGTAGTATTCCTTCTATAGTCCAGAGGTGTCACATCGCCTGTAAAGATCTAGGTGAGTAACACATACTTCGACTAACGGCATCGGGTGGTGACTTTATTGGTGAATGTCATCGTATTACGGTAACTTAGATCGATGCTTATGATGTCGATAGGGGCGGTGGGGTGGCCTAATGGTTAAAGCGTTCGCTCGTCACGCCGAAGACCCGGGTTTGATTCCCCACATGGGTACAATGTGTGAAGCCCATTTCTGGTGTCCCCACCATGGCATTGCTGGAATATTGCTAAAAGCGGCGTAAAACTAAACTCACTCACTCAATTTGGCCCCGACCATTGAGGGAATCGCCCTTTCAGTTTGCTGATACAATTAAGGTATAATAACGTCTATATGCCACTAAAGCATATACTGTTTCCAAATGTACCATTGAGGGCTGATACAGGTATAATAACGTCTATATGCCACAACATATACTGTTTCCAAATGTACCATTGAGGGCTGATACAGGTATAATAACGTCTATATGCCACAACATATACTGTTTCCAAATGTACCATTGAGGGCTGATACAGGTATAATAACGTATAATAACGTCTATATGCCACAACATATACTGTTTCCAAATGTACCATTGAGGGCTGATACGGGTATAATAACGTCTAACGTCTATATGCCACTGATACAGGTATAATAACATATATACTGTTTCCAAATGTACCATTGAGGGCTGATACGGGTATAATAACGTCTATATGCCACTAGCATATACTGTTTCCAAATGTACCATTGAGGGCTGATACAGGGTATAATAACGTCTATATGCCACTAGCATATACTGTTTCCAAATGTACCATTGAGGGCTGATACAGGTATAATAACGTCTATATGCCACAACATATACTGTTTCCAAATGTACCATTGAGGGCTGATACAGGTATAATAACGTCTATATGCCACAACATATACTGTTTCCAAATGTACCATTGAGGGCTGATACAGGTATAATAACGTCTATATGCCACAACATATACTGTTTCCAAATGTACCATTGAGGGCTGATACAGGTATAATAACGGCCACTAGCATATACTGTTTCCAAATGTACCATTGAGGGCTGATACGGGTATAATAACGTCTATATGCCACTAGCATATACTGTTTCCAAATGTACCATTGAGGGCTGATACAGGTATAATAACGTCTATATGCCACAATATACTGTTTCCAAATGTACCATTGAGGGCTGATACAGGTATAATAACGTCTATATGCCACACCAAATGTACCATATACTGTTTCCAAATGTACCATTGAGGGGCTGATACAGGGTATAATAACGTCTATATGCCACAAGCATATACTGTTTCCAAATGTACCATTGAGGGCTGATACAGGTATAATAACGTCTATATGCCACCATTGAGGGCATATACTGTTTCCAAATGTAAATGTACCATTGAGGGCTGATACTGCCACTAACATATACCATTGAGGTATAATAACGTCTATATGCCACAACATATACTGTTTCCAAATGTACCATTGAGGGCTGATACAGGTATAATAACGTCTATATGCCACAACATATACTGTTTCCAAATGTACCATTGAGGGTCTGATACAAATGGAGGGCTATAATAACGTCTATATGCCACAACATATACTTGTTTCCAAATGTACCATTGAGGGGCTGATACAGGTATAATAACGTCTATATGCCATACAGGTATAATAACGCATATATGCCACAACATATACTGTTTCCAAATGTGGGGCTGATACAGGTATAATAACGTCTATCTATATGCCACACCATATGCACAGGTATAATAACGTCTATAATGCCAAACATATACTGTTTCCAAATGTACCATTGAGGGCTTATACATTGAGGGCTGATACAGGTATAATAACGTCTATATGCCACTAGCATATACTGTTTCCAAATGTACCATTGAGGGCTGATACATTTATATAATAACGTCTATATGCCACAAGCATATACTGTTTCCAAATGTACCATTGAGGGCTGATACATGGGTATAATAACGTCCTCCAGACCCTCAGCAAAATATTTTCCTGTACCAGAATATGCATTGTGAAACCTTCAATGTTATTTCATACATGAAACACCATATGACCATGATGCATTCACAGAGGCTATAACGCGAGTACGTTTGGGGGGATACTTACCATTCGAAAACACATAAGCTTGATAACCTCTTTTTGTGAAACCTTCAATGTTATTTCATATATATATGCAATACCAACTAACCACGATGAGTTAATAAAGGTTATAACGCGTGTATGTTTGGGGATACTTACCATTCCAAAACACATAAGCAAGAAATCCTCTTTATCATTACAAGTCGTTCTTGACTTCTGTCGTTGGAGAACCTGTTGCGTTCTTACCCGTTGGCTTTATCCTACCGAAATACCTACTCATTAACTGATGAATTGTCTCCTTTGATCAGTAATTGTGATAACGTTTCCTCTACTGAGTATTAATTCCGTTGTTCAGTAGCTTTACTAGTTGTTTGTTCTTTAACGCTCCACTCAAGAATATTTCATATAAAGACGGTTTGAAAATGAGTCTCGACCAGACAATATCCTGTGATTGATATCATGAGCATCGATCTACGCAATAGGGATACGATGACATGCTTCAACCAAGTCAGCAAGCCTGACAACCTGATCCCCTGGTTACATCGTATGCTCAATATGGATGCCATAACCTAAACCGTATATAGCCTCACCACAGGCGTACTGGGCATTGAGATCACCATGAGACCTAAACAACGATGTCTTCCAACGTATATTGTCGTTTTGAGCTTTGACATTTGAATGCATCGTATCTTTATATAAAATGAGACAGGGATAGAACACGCTGTTATAAGTTTGTACACTATTAGTATTCGTAACAGAACTGGATCCTGCTATTGACATGTGTTACTGATTCATCTGGCCCAGCCTCGATTATTTATTCGCCGACCGTGACATGGGTGGCATATTGTAGTGTGCGGCGTAAAACAACACACTTACTCTCACAGAACGCTATATATTGGTCGGTATCAACATGGTGTAGTTGGTATACAGACGATTCCACATAAGTATGTTTTGATTATCAAAATTTATCAAGAAGTCACAAATCTCGGAATCAGAGAGGATGGCT